TGCCGTAGGCAGTTTATGATCTTCACTCAATTTAATTTGTTTGTCTTTTAATAAAATATCGAAGATTTTATCAGCCTTTGTCACATCGAAAGTATATGTTCGATTTGCCATCTTATCTTTTACTTCATTCTTTTGTAGCAATTTACAGATATATGGAGCTCCTACTTTGAGCTCTGCTATATTTACTTTCTCATCGACAGTCTTTTCCACATCATTCTCTGTCGTGGGATCTGTTTCATACACATCATTTATATATGATATTCTTTCTTTCTTCATTGGTTTCTCAAATTTCTTATATCTTTGTTTTTCATATTCAATTTGTTCTACTCTTCTCACATTATCAGCTAACTGAGCCATATCATTCAATGGTAAATTGACTAACTTTTTCCTAATCGAGAATTCTAAGCCTGCATAGGTCATTCTGACTAATTCATATTCAGGAATTTGAGTAAAGCATCTCGATTTCATTTGTCTAAATCGATTTAAATAATCATCTATGCTTTCATGATTGTATCTCTTTATATTCATCAAGTCGATGAGACTTACTTGAGTTTCTCCTCTAAAGAATTGCTCATGAAAATTTCTTTCCAGTTGCAGCCAATTATATATCGAATTGGGTGGCAACGAAGTAAACCAAGTAAAAGCATTTTTAGTCAAAGAACTAGGGAAATATTTCATTTTTAATTCTTCACTCATCGCGAGATCTCCACATTCGATCTGATATCGAGCTACATGCTCGATAGTTGATTCACCAACTTCTCCAGCAAATTTGGTGAATTTAGGTACTTTGTATCCTCGAGGTAATTCCGTCTCGAGAATCGTGTTTGGAAAAGGAGACACAAAGTATGTTCTATCCCTTGGAAATTCATCCTTTGTCCTAACATGTGATTATTTTGCATGTTATTTTGATTATACATATTTTGAAATCCCTCATTCATATTTCCATAAATATCATTTCTTCCATGTTGGTATTCATTCCCTATTTGTTGATCATTGTTTCGATTTCTCCTTAAAAGATATGGGGGATTGATATTGGCATTCTGGTTAGCATGATTTTCTACCCTTGTTCGTCGAGGTACAGCCAATGCATCCCCGATTCGTGACATTTGATCTGCTAATATCTCAAAACTAGCTGTAGTGTTTTGAACTAATGGATTTAGGACTGTAGTCAACTGTTGGGATAACATATTCACCATCTCAAAATTGCTCTCATCCATTTGTTGTCTAAGTATCCCTAATGAGTTACTGGATATCCCAGTATTAGTGTTCTCGATAGTCTCAAAATTGGATCGATGATAATCTCTATCGAATGTATATCTTCCATGTTCCAAATTTCCTCTATGGTCTAGATTTTCTCTATGATCTAGATTTCCTCTATGATCTAGATTTGGAAGCGTCTGTTGTGTGCCTAAATTCTGTCCGCTTCCTGAATTTTGAGGGATTACTAAGTTTTGAGATGTTCCTAAATTCGGAGGGACTCCAAAGTTCTGAGGCATGCCCAGCGTTTGAGGCATTCCTAAGTTATATCTCGAATTCCGCTGTGTTGAAGAAGTTCCAGCCCCGCTCGTATTACTAAGGGAAAACCCAGGCGGTCTTACACTCATATATGACCCTACATATGTTGTTGTGGGGTTTCCTATAGTTTGCATATTATTTGGTACCACCTACTTGGGTGTTTGTTAAGGTACCTGAATTTAACTCATTACCCACAGGTATCGACATACTTGTAGTCGTCGATGTTACAGGCATATTCCCATTATGACTTTGCCCCCCAGTATTTGGTGAATGTACACCATTTAGACCCTCACTATTACTCTGGTTATTTGAAGAATTTTGACTCATTCTTATAACTCTCCCACTCCTTAATCTCATACACTTTCGGACTAACCAATTTTGTGTTTTTCAACACAAGTAACCCCTACCTGGCGCGCCAATTTGTTTCTGGTGGAATTTCTATCGATTTCGACTCCCGAGATACTTTGATACTAACCAAAATTCTACCACGTAAGTTCTTTTTACTTAGGCTAGCAAATTAATCTTCAATCGAAATGCATACGAGGATCGAATCTTACCAAGTATCGAAAATGCTACTTTTTGGTGTTTTATTTTTAAGATGCAGAAAGCAATGAAATGTCGAATCGAAAAACAATACGGAATATTAAATTGCTGAAACCCGTAAAATGCAGAAACCTTAACAGTACATTGAATGTAAATGACAAGAAATCGAAAGAACAGAAATGTAAATAGCAAGGAATCAAGATAGCAGGAAATATACTGGAAATCGAAATTGCATTAATGTTAAAGGACAAGGAAACTTAAACGCGGAAACTTAACTTTGTTTGAATTGAAATGACAGAGAATCGAAAGTACAAAACATAAAATTGCCGAATATAAGGTGCATCAAAACAAATTACCAAGGAAAGTAAAGAAAGCGGTAAAGGTACTCGATGAGCATGGAAATCCAGATTGCCAGAAGTTTCATGGTGTTCGTCATTTTCCGGTAGACTTCTCACTACTCGATTCCGTTCTCTCGCCAATTTTCTCGCTCCCCTATTCCTTCCTCCTCTCGCTTCTATTTATAGGGCATCATTCAAGCCTTCTAGGAGCGGTTAACAAAACTACTACCACGTTCTTCGTGCGCGTTGCAGTTTCTTCTTCTATGGTGTTAAAACTGCACCCACGTTCCCATGATCTTCATCCTCTGCCACGATTTAGAAACTGTTTCTTATTTGCATGTTTAACTCCTTCTCTTTAAGATCTGGCCACGATTTTGATATTTATGCGGGTTAACCTTTTTTTCGATTTAGACTTCGATTTTATCGAGAACTTTGGATTACTTTTGATTTCTTTTAACCTTAGCATCATATACTTCTAATTTCTTGGTTTGTTCCACAATAAACTTTTGACTATTATTTCTCCGATTCGACTCTAACTTTCGATTTTATGTGTCATGCCCTTCTAATTGGACATCGAATGGTTTCTCATCCACCTTTTCACTTTACCGATCAGTCACATCCAATTTGTTTCTCGATTTTTCTTTCCTTCATTTTTTCGATCATTTTTCTCGATTTTCTACTAACAAGAGGATAAAAAAACTTAATAAAATTTAAATTATGTAATAAAAAAATAATGCTTATATTAAGACGTCATTTATACGATATTAAGAAAATTGTCCATCTTAACTTAGTTTCATTAACCTAACACTAAATATTGTCTGTTTAAAAGTAATAATGTAACATAAAAATGAATAATTTAAGAAAATGATTAAAAAAACAAATATTTCATTTATTTATTAATAAAGAAAATATAAAAACTTATATTATTTTCTAATAGTAAAATGAAAAATATAAACGAAGTAATACTTTAAAAAATTATCCTTCTTTAAACTCTTTCGAAAATAAATATATCAATAATTTTATAATTAAATAATTATTTAATTTTTTATTCATAATTTTTCTAAAAAATATATATATTTTTAGGTCAATTTTTCTTCAAACGAATAAATATATTCTTCATTTTATTTTTATTTTATTTTATTAATACTAACAATATTTATTAAAATAAAATATATCAATTTAAAAAAGTGAGAGTTAATTAATCATATTTTCAGATGTTTTATTACTCCTAATATTTATTGAATATATATTTATAGGATGAATTGCACTACTAGAAAACTAATTTTTCTTTGCTAATTTTCTTGAAAAAAATTGTTTTAATTTATAAAAAAATTATTTCTTGCAATTTTTATAAAAATTTTGTAAAAATATTCACATTTTGAGAATTTTTAGTAATATAGAAATAATTAAAGCTCATAATTTATATCTTATGATTCTTGCGAAGCCAAAACACACAGAATCTATCTCAATTATCAAGAATAGAATCTCCAATAAAAAAAATATTTATAAGGATATATTATTAGTAATAATAGTAGGGATATTTGTATACAAAATTTGCAGTTAATTTTCATAATTTAAAACTTGATTCAATATGTTAAGAATATGTATTTTTTAATTAAATCTCTTAAAAGTCTTGTAAAAGTGTCTTTAAAAGAATTATTTACAAAAAAATTGAAAAATATAAAATATTATTTTATCATGGACAAATAATTTAAAATTAAGTAAAATTTGTTTATATATTTTATTTTTTAAAAATTATATATTTAAGATTTAAAACAAAATAATATTAATTAATTCTTTATAAATATTCATAATATTTTTATTAAGATAAAACGAATTAATCCATTGTGAATCCGATGAATTAGGATGGAGATAGACTCATTAGTCGATTTTAAAATAATATTTATATATTAAAATTAAAATTAAAATGTTATATTTTTTACATTATATTATTAAAATATGTGAATATATTATAATATTATAATTTAAATTATAAAAATTAATTAATTAAGTTTAAATTATTAATTATAATTAATTATTTAATATAATACTTTTTAAATTTATCTAATAAAAATATTATTTAATAGATAAAAAATTAAAAATTATATATATATATAGAAAATTATTAATGAACTATCTATCAATATGTTCCTTATCGCTCTCGATCCTAAATCGTGTCTAAATATTAAACTGGACAATGTGTTTCCGTTCTACCATCTATTTTTGATCGGTTTGCAAAACTTTGTTTAAAGGGAGGATCTTATATTAAGTATTAACACTCAGATATCTTTTAAATTCATAGTTCAATATTAATGACAAAATTTACGAATTTAAACATTTATTATACCAAATAATTTATTTATAAATTGTTAATAAAGCACTATATTTATAGTGTAATTGAAATATATCTGAAATAAAATGGCACAAAGCTTGTAAAATACAAGATTCAATGGTTTGTTAACCATTGAATATTTATTTGACAAGGATGTCCAAAATATCTCATCTCACATATATCCCTTCAGAATGCGCTTAATTTACTTCAGTAATGGTTTCAGATATTCCTTACATTAGATTTTGATTCGGAACTCACAACACAGCACAACTATGGCGGGTGCATGCAGCAGAACACCCATTTCCCTTCTTCCTCCGCGGAACCCCAAAGTCAGAATCCAGAATTCTCAGAGTAAAGTTCTTCAACTTCCACATAGGCGTCTGTTCCTCTTCTCTCTGCCCCTGTCTAGTTTCCTTCTCCTTCCTATTCCCAGCTTTGGTGATGGTAACGGTTCAATTATTGATAAATTTCAACATGGTTCTTCTTCACTTGCTGCCACAATGTATGACCCTATAAGTGCAGCTGAAAGAGACGCAAGTGCTTTACTTTCACAGCGAGTGTCTCAAGCCGTCGATTTGTTGGAGAAAGGGAGGGAATTGCAGGCGCAGGGTGACTTTACTGCCGCTCTTGGTTACTTTTCTCAGGTTATGACGTGCATTTATTTAGCTACCCTATCTTCTTTCATTTCTAATCTACTCCAAATATTATATTGTTTAGGGTTGGGCATTTCAGTGCTTGAGAGTCTAAAAAGTCTATTCATTTTAGTCTCTTTTTATTATTATTATCACTAAAATTAAAAACAAAAAACATTTTGAAAATGATTTAATTTTTATACATTATCAAAACCAATAAAAAGGTTGTGGTGTGTATGACTTTTGAAGTAAAAATCAATACAATTAACCCTGCATTATGATCTCTGATTAGATAATACTGTGCATAGACTATTTACTCATTGAAAAACTAAAAGAGGGTTTTACAGAGTGAAATGTCTATACTTCTTGGTAACTAATTTAGATTACTCTATTTAGGTTGTTACTTTTGAATTTCGGAGTAGTGATGAAGCTGATGATGATCTTAGGCTTTCCATGTAGCTTCTTGCTTACTAAAATTTGTTGATGGATTATGATAGGACTGGTCATGTTCTTGTCCATTATTTATCTTCTTTTTATGAGAAAAATATAACATTTATCGAGATTCCACTGAAAGTGTGTTCACTTTAAGATTTAGTTGTACCTGTCCTTGGTTGATCAAAACCTTAATTGAGAAATAAATTAGTTCAACGACGAATCGGTGTTTTGTGAGAAATCCATCTTCTGTGAATAGAATTGCCTCAAGAGAAATTGATGTGTGCTATCCCATTAAAGTTTTGAAGCGATAGTAATGCCAATACCAACAATAAATAATATTTTTTAAGTTAAAGGTATCCTCTTATTCTTCAACTTTGCTATTTTTTTTATCTATGTATGATCATGTGGTTCAGTTAGCATAGCTGTGACATTGTTCATTAGATGTTGTTCATTGCAGTCGCTTCCTTACATTCTTTGAATGACAAGTGTATATTTGTAACTTTCAAGAGTTAAAAAATTAGGTGAGATTAGTTTCACACACTGGAAATGGAAGGTAAGGCAAATATTCATGTGATTGGATGATTGTAGGTTCAATGTGGAAACTGAATATACCATAGATATAGAGAAGAAAAAGATTGGTCATAACTTCATAGTCATTGCAGTTACATAATATTTGATCTGTCACTCTAGTCCATGGTATGCAGTAGCTTTTGAAATTTTGGATACCAATCCTAAACTGGTACCTGCAGAAAAATGCAGACATCATTTTTATAATCCTTGCATTTGTATGACCTAAATGTAGGCATTATGGGTTTCACTATACTCCTGACAGATTCAAATTTTAATATTGGAACAAAAAACAGAAAGGACATCGAACTAGATACAAGGAAAATACACCATACAATCTCAATTTTATGATGTACTCAGAAAAGGTTGACTATCGTGCAGAATTCATACCAAGAATTGGAAATTAGAAGAGTTCACTTTGAAACAAATGCAATCTTGTTGTGTTAATGGGAGTTTTGCCTTACCTTCTTCCATCATCTTCTAAACCTGGTAAAGTTAGCTTTACACAAGCTTGAATGAGGGAAGAACTCCAATCAAGCTCATAGAAGCTCATTTAAGAGCCTGCATGACACCTCCAGATTGCTCTCTAGTTCAAGACCTCAATACTAAGATTATATAGTTCATCCGAAGCTAATTTATATCTCCGGAGTAGACTAAAATTCTACCTCTCTACTACCTCCTTCAGCTAATTTATATTTGTTGGCTCAACCGGAGCTATTTCGTTGCATCACAGAACACATTCTAAGTATCAACAAGTTGATTCTCATATGCCATGGTTTAATCATGTGACTGATGCTATTAGAAATATACTTAGCGGGGATAGTTAGTTAAAAATTAGAGGTTGGTTAGCTTTGTTGGCCTATTAGTATAAAAACCCTCATATGGATACACTTCTCTTATGCATTCCAAATAAATACAATTTCATACCTCTCTCAATTAGTGGCGGATCTTGACCATTGATCTTGGAGGAGCCAAATAATATATTATTAATAAATAATAAATAAATATAAAAGGAAGTAAGAATATTAAAAAGTGAAAGGATAAAATTGTAAATATATACTTAAATATATTAAATGATCATTAAGTTTGAGGGGACAAAATTATAAATTATATGAGAGTTACAAAACTGAGGAAGGGCTGAGAGGATAAAATTGTAAATATATAAGTAAATATATTAAATGTTCATTAAGTTTGGGGGGTCAAAATCATAAACTACATGGAAGTTACAAAACTTTGGGGGAGTCACCGCCCCCCTCAGCTCCCAATAAGATCCGTCACTGCTCTCAATTATTTTCTTCTTTGAGCTGTGCCATGTTTCTCAACATACACCCCTACCTGATACTTTCAGGTTATTGAAAGCTACAAAGACTTGGCATTCTCAGAGTATGCCAGAGTAGGAAGAGCATTGGCCCTGTATGAAGTTGGTGACAGAGAAGAAGCAATTGCAGAGATGGAGGACGTTTCAATATCTCTAAAAGGATATCCAGGTATAGACTTAGAAATTTTTGCACTTCATGGTCATGCTGCAAAAGGAAAACTCTCACTTCTCTAATTCTAAATCCCGCCCCCCCCGCAATGCAGAAATACATGCTGCTCTTGCAGCAGCCTTATATGCAGATAAGCACGCCGCTTTGCTTGCTGAAAATCAGTTTGCCATTGCAACTCTTCTTGATCCCCATTTTACAGACCTTTCATATGTCAGAGACACAAAGCACTGGCCTCCAAGTTTGATCAGTTCTCTGCAGCACTTCATCACACTATCTTGAGACCTCACAATATTTATACATTTTGTTTAACCCATACTAATTGTTGCCGGACATATAAAGACTTTACAAGTTTATGATTTCAAATATGTAACTATGTTTATTTGTTTCATTTTTTCAGTTTTAAATCCTCTGGGTCTCAAATGTAAATTAGCAGTGATATAAATCCTCTCACTATTGTCTTTTAATACAACACAGAAAGGTATTTCCCAAAACTTGTGACATTGTTTCTAATTCAGAAACGAAATATGAAATGTGATTAAACAAAACATGAAACCTTCCACCTATTTCTTATGTTATATACCTTTTTTCTGATGTCGAATAACCGATGGTATGTATTAGTCATATCTTGGCTTCATCCCTGATTGATGTCATGAAAATCTTTATATTATCATCCAATGATAAGGATGAGACATTGTTTAAAATGTTAGAATTCTTAGATGATTATTATGATCGTTAAATTTCTCTAATATTTTGAAGTACATGCTTCAATAATAATATAAAGGTTTGATGCTAATACCAAATAATATTAGATCCAATATAACATTGTCAACTCTGCATAATGCAAGACAATGGCATAAAGCAAAAGTTAGAAGCCGCTCAATAATTTTGACTATGATGTCCATATGTTGTAATTGATTATTCATCCAAACAAAAAGTTGATTAGTAAGTTTGTCTTTCTCTCAAGTTTGTTTTTCCATATTAATAAATAATGATAATAATAATAATAATAATATAACTATTATGTAAAAATGTTTTCTTAACGCATTTCTTTTAATTGATATATGTGAATACTAGATATTATAAGATAAATTTCTTTGATCTTGATTTACTACTTAGAATTGATTTTCATTTAAACATGTGTATCATCAACTTTCCTATATTTAAAACTATTAGGATACATTTGGTTGGATAAAATGAAATAAATAAAAAATAGATAGTTTTTTTCTTTTCTTCTTACAGCATAATTTAATTTATATCAAAATTGATATTACTTTAAATCTTCAATTTTAATTAAGAGATGCAAATCACGACCACTTATAATTAAAACATGAACTAATGCAACTATAACCTAAATTAATCCACTAATCCATACCGTGACCCTTAATCCATTATGATGATAGGGATGGTTCACAACTATAAGAGTTTGGTACAAGTCTTTTTACATTGGCATCTAAAGTTAGTGTCTATGTGCTTGGGAACTTTGGTTTCAAATTGTGAATTTAATTTTGAAAGTGATGCGTGTGTTTGATTTTATTCTTAACAATTCAAATATTTGAATAATCAATCTAATAAAAACTAATAATGGTGGTCCACCATTAATAACCGTAGATAGAATATATTTGACTATGGATGGGGATGTAATTGGATTGTGTCGATGATTCTGCTTGCGTGTTAGAATAAGACACGGCTACAAGAAAAACCTCGCAGATGCAATGCTCACGTTAAACTACAATCTTTTCAAAAGTAAATGGATATTCATTCTTCATTCACAATATTATTAATTGAAATATATAAAACCAATGAAATCATAAAGTGCTTTATTTAATCAATCATAAATAACTATTATTTTCTTTATTTTAGTTTTTTTAAATAAAAAATATAAAAAATATCTCATACCAACTAAAAATATAATAATAAAAATAATATAAGCTAAATTATTTTGATATAAAAAGTTCTTCTTATGACACTAAATTTTTTATGATGCAAAGCATTGAGACGAACACGATTAGACATATGATAGGGAGACTAAACTTAGACTACATTAAAAAAATAAAAAAATATCTATTAAAACTAAATTAATATCATTAAATGTTAGATATAAAAAATGTTTTTTTTTATTAATATATGCCAATTTTAACATAGTTCAATTGTAGAGATATTGGATTCATATCTTAGTGCAACAAATTTTTAGATAATACGAATAACTGTTTTCATAAATATAAGAAAACTTATAACCTTATGTGATAGGAAAAATAAATTTTTAAAATAGTTATCTTTTTAATAATGTGGATAGTAGCAAATAGTAAAGAAAAATTAAGAAGATAAAAGTGTTTTTATTTAAAAGACAATGACAAGTATTATTTAGGGATGGCAAAACGGCCAGCCGCCTCATTTTGGCCCGCCCACCTTTGGCCGCCAAAGCGGGCGTGAGGCTGGCCCGATATAGTAATGACGAGTTGTAGGCCTTAGCCCGCCCGCTAGAGGCGGGTTAGTGGCTGACCGTCATAATTTAGAAAAAAATATTTTTTAAATAATTTTTTTAATAAATTTAATAATAAGATTATTATTTGTTTGTCAATAATTCAATATATATATATATATTATTTCAATTTAATAATATAAATCAATACATTATTTTAAGAAATTATAATTTAGAACAATAATAAAATTTACATAATAATAAATAATAACAAATATATATATATATATATATATATATATATATAAATAACGTTAAACTTATAAAATTTATATTTTTTATATTGTAAAATTCAAATACCTATATCTTTTTTATTTGATAAAACTTCATATTATTTTTGGTTGAGTAATTCTTATATCTTTAATTCAAGTAATAAGGATAAATATAATCGGTGCTTAGGATAAATAAGGAGAACATGAGAGAAGGTTATATTTCGGGAAGGAGAATATTTTCTGTCGAGAATGAAACTTTTTTAATTCTCTTTTTAAAATTTTTAACTTTATATATTATTTTTATAATTAATTTTATTACAATAAAAAATTATTTTTTTATTAATTAAGCGGGCCGTGGCTGGCCCGTCCGTCCCACGGGTTGGCCCGACGGGTTAGCGGGCTTGACGGGCGGGCCAAAGCGGGCTGGTGGGCTGAAAATACCAACCCGCCCGCCATATTATGGCGGGTTAGCGGGCCAGCCCGCTGAACCTAGCTCGTTTTACCATCTTAGTATTATTGAAATGATATAATAAAACATTTATTATTATAGTATTGTAAGTATACATATATATTAAAGAAAAGACATAAATTCACATGCCAGGCTAAATTATTTTTAACAAATATTAAATTTATTATTTGTAGTATCTAGGTAAAGTTTATTCTTAACTCGTTATATAATCGGTATAATATTTAAATAGGTCGATCTGTTACGTAACTAATCTAATAAATCACACATATAACCTTAATATTTTTTTTTGGAAAATATGAATGGTTAAATACTAGAGAAAAATTAGAATAATAGTGTGACACTGATGAAGTTGAAAAAGAATATGATAATGGAGTAGGTAAATTAGTTTGGCGCATTATCGTGGTGTATAACGTTATCTTGCTCATTAGCCTCCTCTTCCTTTAGACTTGGTCCTTCGTATCGTATTGGGAAAAAGTTCCAATCTTGAAGGGCCTCAAATTTGATTGAAGAAAAGGTTTCGAAAAAGAGTTTGAAGTAAACAAAAAAATGATGGAAGAGGAATTTGTCTCTTCCATTGTGTCATTCCCACAATTCAACCCCAAGTCAAAAGGCCATTCATGATCCTTAGTGCCTCATCCCATTTTGTAAGGCCACAACTTAAGTCATAAATATCCATTATGGCTTCATTTGAACAACTGATAAAAAAAATCTAGCAATTTTTACTCAATAAACTTGATGCTTTAACACTTGAGTCATTACGGTGGTTGTTTGTTCGTTCCACGGTCGTAGTCGCAGACATGGAAAAAGGCTACGCAAGGTATCCGGGTGGGCTCACTTGTTAAAGCTTATTATATTCGGTTTAATATTATTTTCAAACTTTTTTTTTTTATCTAATTGTGGGGGTATGTACTATTATAATTAATTTGAAATACCCACATTTTTTTTTCCTTTTTTGCATGATAATTAAATTGATTGTGGATATACATGTGTTCTTTATTGTAATTAAATTAAAATGCAGAAATGTATTTTCTAATTTGTGTTAAAAAAAATCTAAAAAAAAGACACACCCATAACTTGGTTTGAAAGAGTTATGCATAAATACTTTTAAATATGAAAATACTTTAAATAGATATGAAAATGTATTAAACACTCAGTAACAATTTTATGTTAGCAGAAAAACTATCAACTGTGTGAATTTTAGGGGTTTCCTTATAAGGTCAAAAAATGGAGGTGGTGCCAGTATGTATTGTCTAAATTGAAGGGTTTCCAATGTAATTTGTTCTAAAATATTTGTAAAGAATAACACTTTTTTAGTTTTGAATTCATAAAGTTATTTTATTTAATTATTTTTCATTTTTAGTAGTAACTAATGTATCTCTGTTTTCATTTAATTATTTTCAAATTTTACTAATTTTTTTTAATAATATTTCTAGAATGCCTGTAACAATGAGTACATGAATAAATTTTAACCTCATAATGAGATTCAATTATTCACAGATTACAACCATAAGGGAACAAATATGGTGGCAGTGACTCCCCAACAATGAGACCCACAAAGTTCTGTATGAAACACTTACATATACACTTTTTAGTCTTCATGAACATACACTATGTGATTATTTTATCAAATATTGACAATCTAACGCTGCTTTGGCTCTGATCTTAGCAATTTGAGAAGCATTCGTGCCTTTGATTTTGTTGTGTTACTACACTGACTCTGCAGGAGCAATAGCAACCGAGTCAAAACTCCACTTTCCATGGCTTTGTCTTTTGCACGCTCAAATTCACCACAAACAACTAAAAGCACCTCCACAGCACTCTCGCTGCATTCTTGATCTGATACCCTGAAAACCATATTAACCAAAGTTTGAACACCATTAGGGTGATTCACCAATGCCACTTTAGCACTTTCCAGCCCCATAAGTTTCTCAACTATTCTCACTGCAAGTGGGGTCATGTTTCTTCTTTCTGATGAGATGTATCTCATGATACCATCTATTGCTCCTCCTCTCACCAAACTCCCTCTGTTGGATTGCAATGAACATAGTGCTGACATGGCTTTAATTGCATCCCCAGAAACTTCGTAATTTTGGTTAACAACTTGAACAATCTCGTGCACTAGTTTGTGAGTGTTTCCAAGAGTATAACATAGATCCACTGTCTCAGATGACGAAGATGCCGAGTCTATAATACAGCACAAGCCAGTCTTAACCGAGTTAGTCCCCTTCTCAAATAGTAGCACAAACGTGGCTAATTTAGACCCATCTTTGATCACATTTAGAGGCTCCAAACTACCAAGTGGCAGCAATTTCTGAATGCAACAAAGTGCTAGCTCTATGAAGTTGATCATGTGATTTATTGATACTTGAGTTCCAAAAACTAGTTTCAAAAGCAGTGGTAGGAAGTTCAATTGAAGGAAGCATGATTTGTTAAAGGAGCAATACTCATCAGATAAGAGACTGATTTTCCTAAGTGCTCGCAGCTTGTTTTCTAAGCTGCTTTCATGGGATTCAAGGTTGCGCTTGAGAGAAGCTAAGGAGTCAAAAGTTGAAGTTTCAGGGTTAGCAGGGTCGAACAGGGGACCCAGTTGAAGCCACTGATCGATCAAGTGGCGAAGAGTGTGGTTGGGAACAATGGATGGATCGTGAAGCTTTTGCATTGTGACTGGACATGTGAGGTTACCAGCAGCAAGCCATTTTTCTATGTTTGACCTGTCATAGGTTTGGCCTGTGCACAAGGTTACAGGATCTTCCAACAAGTCTAAACTTATGGGGCATCTGAATAGGGGAGGAATGGTGTTTGGAGATTCGTTCATGGAAGGAAACTGAAGATTCTCAAGAACAAAGAAGCAAGTACTCGCTAGAACTTATGTCTCCAAAGGAACTTCAAAGAGACAAAAAACCCAAAGTAGATTCTCAAATATGATGTCTCATGTGAAGCATTAGAATGGAAGACATGCATTATAAAGCAGGCACAAAGATGGTGTCAGAAAGTGGCAAACTTTTTTTCTATTTCCTCTTTTAGCTTCTAAAAGCCTTGAGAGAGAGAAGAAGAAGAATGTGAAAGAGTCAGATGCAAGAAGCCTGGAAGTGGAGAGTGAGTTATAAATGAGAAGTGAGACACCCAAACATAATGCATCCAGTAGAAGGAAATGATGGATAAAGAGAGAAAAAAAAGTTGCAAAGTTGAGGACGAACGTTAATTCCACATTGGCAGCACGAAAGAGTAGTGGGAGGAAGAGAAGTTTCTGTAGGTCTGCAATTCCTGGGTATACTATTGACAGGACAGTGGAGAAAGGGAAAGCAGAAAAGTACAAATATTTGATGGCATAAACAGAAAGAAACAGGCGCAAACAGTGTGACCAAAAGAATAGATAATCTAGTGAAAGAAAGTGGAATAGGAACTGATATTATAGTATAATGGTGACCATGGTCCCCACCCCAGGCATCTTCTTTATCAATCCAGTCAAACCAAAACACCCTTTTGCTTTTGTCCAGTCAAACTGGACAACCAAGAGTCAAAAAATATTGTTAATACCTTTGAAGTTTGAATCCACCTGTGCTGACCAGCTAATGGAAGAAAATTGTGGCTTTTGTGTTTTCTTGCTTTTATGATGCATAGTGTTTTGTTTTAAATAATGGAAATAAAAGACTTTTATGACGTTTTGGCTTTATTTAGGTTAAATTGTTGGAGAAGATATCACATTTCACAAAGGCTATTTAGACATTACTAAATTATCACGTCTCATGTAATTTCATATTAAGATGTGATAATTAAATGAAAACTTCTCCCTCATGGTCAATTCTTTACTTATTACGGTTATCAATTCTTGTTAGATGAATTTTCATTAATTGTAACATATCAACATGTAATAATATAATGAAAATGATAATAAATTCAAAGTGTTTTTAATAAGATAAGAATCACAACTTACAATTAAAATGATAAAAAGAAAACTAACATATCAATATAAAAATAAATATAAAAATGTGTGAAAGTTTACAAAGAAATGATGATAAAATGGTAATAGTTGTGTATTTTTCAGATACCTGTGTCTCATCCACATCCACTTGTAAGAGGGCCAAGATGAACGAGAGGATATGAAATATCAAAGAATACTATATATATATATATATATATATATATATATATATATATATATATATATATATATATATATATATATATATATATATATATATATATATATTAAAAATAAAATAAATATTAAATAATTTATTTTATTCATATAATAATAATAATATCTATAAAAATAATTTTAAAAGAAAAATTATTCAAATTAGATCGATTTATTATTTATATATAACTTTTTTCTCTTTCTATATTTTTTTCTTTCTTTGTTTTTTTTTAATCTTCTCTCTTTTTATATTTATTTTTTATTAAAATTTAATAAAAATATGTTAAAATAAATATTTTAAAAATATTAAAATTAAAAAATATTAATTATTTAAAATTATGATGATAATAAATAATTTTATTTATAATAAATAATTATTTATCTATACAAAAAAATATATCAAATATTTATAAAATAAATATATTTTTTATTTAATAATTATATCTAGTTACAGTAATTTTAAGTTATGATAATTAATTAGATTAGATAATTTTTAAAAATATTTATTAAAAAATTACTTTAAAATAAATATTTATTTTTTTCTTAATAATTATGATATAATAAATATTTGTAATGTCTCAGATTTATCATATAATGTTTTCTTAAATATGATATATTATATTATAATATTTATGAATTATTTAAATATTTTATTTTTTAATAATAAAAAAAGATTTATATTATCAAATTTTAATTTATTATTTTTAAATGAATAATAAGATAAAGAAAAAAACAAATATATTTTTTTATTGACTTTTGTATGAATAATAAATCAATTTAATTAAATAAATAAATCCAAAAATATTATATTTAAGTAATTTTTTTATATATTTTTTATTTATGATATTGATTTATATTAAAAAATTATTTAATAATTTTTTATTTATTTAGTGTGATGTTAAAATATCATTTAATATTTATAAAATAAAAGATAGAAAAAAATAGTGCTCAAGTAAGAGAAAATTATTGTATAAAAATTATTTATATAAATCATATATATATATATATATATATTTTATTTTTTTTAAAGCATAAAAAATACTTTATTTGCAAAAATAATTTAAATTGAAATTGTAATTTTTTTCAATTACTTAGTGTTTTATTTAAATGCTCTTTATACTTATTTCTTCTAGAAAAATTTCTCAGGTATTATTTATACAGTAATTTCTTCATAGATACTCTAACGAGGTATAAGAGATTTCATTTAAACAATTATTTTTTATAAAAAAATATATTTTTTATAAAAAAATATATGTTATTCTCTTATCTTTTATCTAATGTATTCTCTTGGAACACGTCTAATAGAAGTGATTGTTGAAGTGTTTAAACGACTGTGCTGCAAATATTTTTCCATTTAGGAAACTATAATTGGTATAGTAAGTTATTTTCATAAAACTGTAAGTTAATTCCTAAGAAAACCTCTTAAATTGAAAAAAAAAATTGTTTCCTAAGAAAAAGTAAATGTTGTAATTATATGCAAAACTAATTATATCATCTGGTAAAATATATCTCCATAACTACTCTTTTTTTATATCATTTCAGTTTAATTTATATAGAATCATTTCAATAATAATAAAAATAAATTCAAATACTAAAATATAAATATTTAAATATTATATATATATATATATATATATATATATATATATATAATATTAAATCACCGACACCAAACGTTTGGTTTAATCTTTGATAATTTTAAAACGTAAAATTTTAAATATTTGTATTTTAATATATGTGTTTATCTATAAAATAAATTAAATTTATAAATAAAATGTAGTCAACCAAATATATTTTTACCAGATGATATAATATAATTACAACTTTTAAGAGGTTCTCTTAAGTTAAAAATAAAAATTGAAAAGTAATTTTATTATTTTAAATTTTTAATTATAATTAGTTATAAAATAGTTTTTAAACAGAAAATTCTAGGTCGTACATGTTCAATATACTTCCTTTAAGATAAATTACTTTCTCACCATCAATATTTTTTTACAGGGATCCACTAACAGACGAGAATAACCTTGAACACAGTACAATCCTAACGAATAACAATTTTTTTTACATATATATAATTATAATAAAAAACATAAAATTATAATATTTTCACACAAAAAAGCTATATATATATATATATATATATATATATATATATATATATATATATATATATATATAACTTACTAAGAATATAAATTAGAATTCATTTCATAGATTTTAATTTGATATGTTTTATTTGACAAATTTAACTGAACAAATCAAAGAAAAAAGTTTGATAATTTTTCTAATTATTATTTATGTTTGCAAATCGGAACATTTTGGTGAGCTTTTACATATTTAATATGGATTGAATAATAAATTTTTTTTCACACGTGGTAGTGAAAAGGATCGTATAATAAATATTGAGAAAAATAAGTATTCTGAATTATACAGTTACATTACCAAAATTATGTAAAAATATAGTATTTAAAATATTATATTAAGCTAATTAATTAAACTAAAATAATCATTATAACATAATTATTATTCAACATAATCCCATAATTTAACAATTTATTTAATATTCAATTTTTTAACCTTCAATTATTCAATAATTTCATCATAATGTACATTAGCTTTCTCGTATCACAATGCTCAAGTTTCAACTTCTTCCTTACTTCATATATAATGGAGTGAAATCTCAATCCGATATGTTTGTTTTTCTTGTGATGAATTAGATTTTTCATTAAATTTATGGGTGACTTATTGTTAATCTTCAGTGTCATAATCTTTTCTGATCTTTCAAGGACTCGATTCACCAAACTTCTGATCCACAATACTTGATAGAACAGGTTGTAACTTTGAGCACCATGAATCAGTAATTTTCTGAATAGGAATACATAATCTGATGTGCTTCTGAAACTAACTTTATCTTTAGTCCAGCCAAAATCAGAATATCCAACCAACTTTTTTCTATTATGATGTGTAGCATTTGGTAGCAAAATACCAAAATCAATCATCCATTTAATATATCTCAAAACTCTCTTAGCTACTGGGTGGGAGATGAGTTATTTTGAGTTTCTCTATAAATCTACTCAACAACCCAACACCAAAATAAATATTCAATCTATTACCACATAAGTATCTTAAGCAACTAACATCCGTATGTAAACAATAACATTTACATGTTTCTCATACTCATTTTTGTTAAGTTTCACATTTGACTCGAGTGGTATAATTGTCGTACTACACTTATCCTAAATTTCTTAAGTACTTATTTGACATATTTATTTTGTTGAATCAAAATACCTTTCTTACCTTCAATGAATTTCATTTCCGGAAAATATGATAGTTTTCCTAGATCGGTAATCTCAAACTGATATTGCATCCTCCTTTTTAAATTATTGATCAAAGTAATTTTACTATTTGTAATCAACAAATCATCAACATATAAACAAACAATTAATACATCACCTTTGATCTTTGAGTAAATCTCAAACTTGGCTTCACACTTTAAGAATCATTGTTGTCGAAGATAACCATCTATTTTAGTGTTCCAGTTTCAAGTCATACAACGTCTTCTTTAATCTAAGAACCTTCTGTTTTTCTCCAGTAATCACAAACTCTAATAGTTGTGTAAGATAAACCTCTCCCTCCAATTCATCATTCAAAAATACAGATTTTATATCTATTTGATG